TCTGGGTGTATTTTCCTGCATTGGGAAAATTTGCTCTTTTCTTTGAAATTTTCAGAAGGTTCTTGGCAATTTTAACATATGAAAGTATCAAAAGGAAAAAAAAAATCCAAAAAATGATTACAATAATATAATTTAAAATTGCTTCTGTCATTGCATTCTGTTTATTTCGGTAATGAAAGCACATAGTAGAATTGCTGTCCTCACTCTTAAAGAAAGCTGGTGCAACTACTATTATAAATCCTGTTAGTGCAAGTGCCCACACCATGCAACAAATACATACACTTCGTGTAGTAATTAACATTTTAGGGTGCTTCACAGACTTATTTATTTTTATATAACGATCTAGACTAATTAGTCCCAACAGTACTATGCTAATATACATGTTCATATAAAATAGAGTTCCTACAATCTTGCATAAAATCAGTCCAAACATCCAGGTGTTTTTGGTAACATGGTAGATAATTCGGAAGGGAAGACAGAAGATCAGCAGAAGGTCTGCAATGGCTACATTTAGCAAGTAAACTTGGATAGAATTCCTTTTCTGATGAATGCACAGGAAAGCAAACAGAGCTGTAATATTTCCAACCAATCCAACAACAAAAATAATAGAGTAAAAAACTATCAAAGCAAGTGACAGTGAGTTGTCTTCTAAGGGACAACTGGCATTGTTTTGAATTTCTGAAGCATTTGTGGCTAGGTTGGTTTGGTTACTCCAGAAGACTTCCTTGTATGGCAGAATGGTCAGTAAATCAGCTGAAGCTGCAGCCATCATTTGTGAGGATTTTTTTTAGCTCTTCTGTAGGGATGCAAAGAGAAATTTTAAGAATTAAATCGCCATGGGACCATTTTCACATGTTTGCTTGCTTTATTGCATACGGTCTTACGTGATACAAACGTAAAACATAAAAACATAAACATATTATATGTGATATAAACATAAAAGGCAATAACTAAAAAAAGCAAATGCACCAAAGTATTGCTGTAGCTGAGTAGAAGAAGGACTTTCAGCCAGATATCATGATATGATGTAAGTCTAGAATAATTGGTTCCCTGTTTTTCTTCTCGTGAACTAGGCAAGCACAGATGGTACAAAGCACTCACACAGATAACTGTTTTTGTAATTACGTCTTTATTACTGCCTTGTATTGTTTTAAAAATCAACTATTATGTTTTGCTGCAAATTTTAGAAATTTAAATTTTTTGTTTTATCTGTAAGTACAAATAATTTTTTTAAGTTCTGATGTTAGGATTAATCTTTCTGACACAGTAAAGTTTTTAATTAAGATGCAAAAAAGGGTAAGCTTAGCTAAGTGAAGTATTCTTGGTGTTGATACAAAGTACATAGAAATATATCAAAACAATTCTAAACTCATCAGTATTCATTTTAATTAAGTACCCAGGATCTCTTGCATGAAAGTCACTAGTTTTCAATCAGAAAAGCAATTGTCAATTAATATTTATTTGGGTATGTAATCTGTTATAAGTAACTCTGTGAGTCACTACTACTACAGTAGCTTGTTTTTAATAATTCATATCTTCATGTAAATGTAAGTATTTTTCATTTAGCTTTCATTTTATATATTTACATCTTCCTTGTGTTCATTTCAAAGTTTTTAATTTCAGTAAGCTTGTTTTTGACCAGGAAGGTACAATCTGGAAGATAAAAGTCAGTTTTGACTGAAGAAGGAAAACCAAAAAAGTGTGTGGTTAGGAGAGTAGAATCAAAATGAGCTGTTTAGAGAGATAATTAAGACTGATTAGTAACGATACAACTTTTCTCCATAATTTGTATGTCATCATGATAAAAGATTCCATAAATAAGTTTATTTAGATTTTTTTTTTTTAAAGGAGCAAGTTTTTTTCCCCTAATCTCACAAAAACTTCAGATTTGGTTTTGGTACCCTAAACTTAGTTGTCTGACAACAGTAATAAGAAAACAAAAAACCCAACAAAATTTGCATGCTAGGTCTTAAAAATGCAAATTTACATTTAAATGTGTGATATAGCTACAGCAGTAAAAATGGCAGCATTTCTGGTAAAATTCTTAGTAAGACCTAACGTACATACAGAGTCTGAATTATTGAGAGGACAGTCTAAAATATTTTAACATCCTACTTTGGCTGATCTTAGAATTGCATTTAATTTGTATGATATGTTAGCAGTTTTAAAAATATTTCTGCTTTCATATTTGGCATTTTCATATTCTCAGGGCAAGCAGTAATTTTAAAAGTTTGTTTAAAGAAACCGATGCTTTCAAATACATCTTGAAACGTATCTACTACTATAATTTCTGGTTTATGTTGCTTTTCTATAAAAATGCTTGACATCATGACTGTCATAAGTAATGACAAGTTTTAGGTCAATGAGAGAGAGAAAAGATAATTACACTGCAGATACGTTAGAAACATAACTTAGCTATCATAAGTTTTGTCATCTGTAAGCAAGCAGGCATGCTTAAACATAGGTATACTTAAGAAAGGGTTTGAAGGTCAGTAGTACCTTTGCAGTTACGAGAAATTTTAATAGAAATTTGTTTTCCTGTAGCTTAAATATAAAAGAAGCCACTTACCATTCATATATTGAGAACTTCTCCTGATTTTTAAAACCGCTGGTGAAGATAGGGAGGAGTAACATGCAAGTCCTCTTATTAGAAAGCTAAAGCACTAGCTTCTGTATGAAAGTGATGAGAATCAGCTGACACAGTACAATTAGCAACAGGGGGAAGTTTAACTAGTGTTGCAACTGTTTTTTTAAAAGATATTTTTAACTAGCAAAGCTCAGTCTATTGAAAAGATCAATTTTGCTGTTAGCTCGGCTTTGCTGGGAGAGGTTCTATAATAAAGTTTTCTCCGAGTTTCACTCTGAAATGGAGATATGGATTTTTTTCTCAGAAACTTTGTTTCTCGTGAGCAATGTCAGTGGCCGCCTTTTTCAATGACAATTATGTTGGTACAGCCTATCGTCTTTTTAATACTGTCATGGAAATAGTATCACTTTTTCAAATGCAGAGTAAAGAGAAATCAACAGGACAGTGAAAAAGTACATTTTGCTTATGTTGGTGTAGTTCTCCTCCCATCTACCTTCCTCCTTGGCTGGGGTTAGAAATTTGAGGCTGATCTTTTTCACTCAAAATTACAGCAATGAGAGAATGTGAAAGTGCCCAAAGTGTGCAGCTTAACATTTTAATAAGGCAGAAGTGAAATACAATGTTCAGAGATAATACCACCTGGTACTACTATTTTAAATAGGATAGAAGGGATTGAAATTGCAAATTTATAAATGGATTCTAGAAGTCCTGATAGAAGGTACGCTAAATTTAATGATCATCTCAAGAACATTGTCTTGACTTAGTATTCTCCTTAGCATTTGAAATGAGAATTTCCATGTTAACTTTCTTAATACGTTATCTGGTGAGGAATCAAGCTTTTATGGGATTCTGCAGATTTCAGTTAGAATTATAAACAGGCTATGCATTTTTACTTGAAGGTGCTTGTTCTCATACACTTGAAACTTTTTAAAAGAGTGGTTACAGATGATGACTTTATAGGTAGTCAGACTGAGCTTGTTGTAGCTCCTTTGCACTGAGTTCCTAGTTTTGTAATTTAAGCAGTAATGTATTCCCAAGAAGCAGTATACAAATTTGACATTCTTCCTTTTAAATAATGTGGTTGACTGCAAAGGGAGGCTTTGAGTAAATGCAGGAAGTCACTTGGTATTAAATGCAGTAGTTTGGCTATGTGTATTAAATCCTGTAGTGGTTTAACCCCAGCCAGTAACTAAGCGCCGCACAGCCACTCGCTCACTCCCTGCTCCCCAGTGGGATGGGGGAGAGAACTGGAAGGGTAAAAGTGAGAAAACTCATGGGTGAGATAAGAACAGTAAGTAAAATAAAATAGAATAGTAGTAATAATAATAACAACAATATAATAATAATACAATAATAATATACAAAGCAAGTGATACACTATACAATTGCACACCACCCACTGACCAATGCCCAGCTTGTCCCCAAGCAGCAATTGCTGCCCCCCAGCCAACTCCCCCAGTGTATGTACTGAGCATGACGCCATACGGTATGGCATAGCCCTTTGGCCAGTCTGGGTCAGCTGTCCTGGCTGTGCCCCCTCCCAGCTTCTTGTGCACTGGGCAGAACATGGGAAGCTGGAAAGTCCTTGACTGGTGTAAGCACTGCTCAGCAGCATCAGTGTGTTATCACCATTATTCTCATCCTAAATCCAAACGACAGCACTATACCAGCTACTAGGAAGAAAATTAACTTTATCCAAGCTGAAACCAGGACAATCCTAAATTGTGTTCTAATAGATTTTGTCTAATGTTCTAATAGATGTTGCCTCCTCCTACACCAGGCAGTATGCATCCAAACTGTTGTGTAATACCATTCCATTTTTATACATTACACCTCACTCTTATTAGCGGAAAGACTGTGCCTGGAATCCAGTTTAGAAACCTAAACAATTTCCCCCCCTTTCTGGAATACTTATTAGAAACATCACAGGGATGTTCCTTTTCTTTTATGCAGTTGGGAAGTGATCAGTGAATTCTGTGATTAAGGCTCAAAATAGTGTTTTATGTTCTCTGTGTGAAGGATAAGATCCCTCAAAGTTTATCATAGGCAGGATATTTCTGCTGGAGAATTGAAACAGTATAAGGCTTAAGGGTGGAAGGTAAAAAGAAAAAATAACGCCAGTTAAGCAATTATAGGCATTAATTTTAATCTCCATTTTATTGTGATTCACTTCGTGTTCCTTGCGAGTTCTGTTAAGTCCTGAAAGGATTTTGCTGTGCCTGGGACTTTTGAAAGGGAAGCCAATGAAGAAGAAGGATTCCATGCCAGGGAAAAAAACCTGAAATTAAGAAATCCTTTCAAAAAACCCCCAAAGATTCTAGCTTCTGTTCGCAAATTTGTGAACATAAATTCTAAGATGCAAATTGTATTTCTCAGGTAATCTAATAATTTGTCTGGGTTTTTGTCTTTTCAGCCACACTGTGTATTGCTTGCCTCAAAAGAGAATTCAGCCCCAGTAAAGCTTGGTGGCTTCGGGGTAGCAATTCAGTTAGGAGAGTCTGGGCTAGTTGCTGGAGGTAAGAAATTTTCCTTCAAAGTTATATAATATTATGCATGTTGTACTGCAGAGTTCTGTTCTTCTGACGCAGCCTGGCCTACAAAAGAAGAGCTTAAAAATAATCTTTCACTAAAGACTTTGTTAACATTATAAATGCACACAGTTAATCTAAATTGCTAGTAGAATGCAAGATTGTTGTGCATGCATATACTGAGTATTAAATCCCTCTAAATGTTACTCAATGGGAGCTTACACTGGTTTGATCCAAATAAAATTGAAAAAAAAAGCAAAGAATTTTCCATTTTAATACAAGCTGTGGCATTAATTCTTCCATGCTTGACAAAGCAAATCAAATAAAAATGCTATCAGGATTGAAATGTATGTCAAAGCAATTGAGTAAGGACTTACTACAGCATCCTTAATGCTCCCCTATGTTTCTTAGGCAATTTCTGTCAGAATGCTATGCTGTTTAATAGCAAAATCTTAGAGTTTTCACATGTGACTCTTTTCTGTGTTTTAATATTTCATTGTAATTATTGCATAAGACATCAATATCTTGATATGTATGTATATTTTTTGACTAAGTGTGTTTTGTTTTCTGTGGATTTTATTTCCTCTAGCTGCCTTCCATATTGTTCCAGACAATAGGGTTATGCTTTAATCAGCCTGCACAGATGAAGACCCAATCAATTTTCTGATGCTTTCATTGCCAGAGTAGGAGACCACAACAAAAGATTTTGTTAGTTTTAATTTTTTTTTCTTCAAAATGAGTAACTTCCTCTCAGTACCATGCTTCTTCAAAAACTCAGATTTCCTAATCTAATTACTTAAAGGTCTGCGTCAATTTGGCTTTTATATGCTCTTTAAAATAAAATATAAGCGTACCAACAGCTTCCATTCTCTTCCAGATATCGCTAATACCCATGAAATATCGAGGTATCTTATTACCTAGAGACCTAGATACATTTTTTCAAAGAAAATATCCATTCAGTTAAGCAGCTGTTGTTTCCTTAATAAAAAGGTCACTCTTTTCTTTACTTTTCCTGTGTTTCTCAAATTTTTGTACCTCAGCCACTGCTTTTTTTAGTGATAGTTCCTACACTTTTGTTCCTCTCTTTTTTTTCTTCTTTATATTCTCACTGAGCAACTTTATCCATTTCTTCTGTTTCAGCTGCTCTTCTGGAGGTAGTCAGATACAGTGTACTTTCTTTTAGCCTACTAGCTGCCTCGCAAGAAACCTCAAGTTCAACTTGGGAAAAAAAATCCTGCATTTTTCCCCAAATTTGTCATGTCCTTCCTTTCCTGTTACCATTCACTGTTCTGCAATCGCACTCATCATTCATGTGCCCAAGCTCTGGGCAGTTATCAGTACTGGTCTGGTCTTTCCTTTTCTATGTAAAAATGTTTTCATTCCTTTCTGGTTCTGTTTGCAGTACTTATAGAAGTTTCTTTCTTAAGCCTTATCAGTATAATATTTCGCTGTATCTGTATCTTTTACCTCATCCATCTCAACTTCTGCCATATCTGTCTGCCTTCATATTTTTTTGTTTTGCTCTCTCTCAACTGTCATTTCCAATTTGTAGCCTTCTCATTAGCACTTGTTACTTTCAGCTTCAAATTTCTCTTGCTTTTAGGAATACCCAGAATAATTCCATTTCATTTATATACCACAGAAGGTCTCAGTTCTACTACTTGTTTTAAGCTTTCTCCTTAACAGACTCTTTATCTCTTTCTCCTCATATTCCATTCCAGTCTTTATACCACAAACTACATCTGTTATCTGGCAATTCTTTTTCCCGTCCAAAGTCCTACCTGAAGGCATATGACTAGGCAGTCCCCTACACAGCACTTGCAAGATTTTATTTCTTCAACTTTACAGTATCACCCCATATGTGTTATATGAAAGTTAACAATACTGTCTGTTTGAACTGGGCTATAAATTTCTTGTAAAAAATTGTTTATCTACATATTTGTTTGTTATCCATATTCCCTATAGATAAGTTTTGTTTTGTAATAATAATAATAACAATAATAAATTACAGGCACTACTTATTTCTGAGTTCTCTCCTGAATGAAATAGAAACTCTCCTTGTAGAGAAGTTTGAGCAGTGTAATAACCAACCTGTTCACTTTCACATTCTTTTTCTAATTTTTAGTGAAAAACATTGATTCATCTTAACATAGTCAATTATTTCCCTTTCAGCATGGCAATTCCTGTATTTGGTGGTTAACATATCAAAAAAGAAATTCTCTCTTAAATAAGAGCTATTATGGCATTAAGGTTCTCTTACTGACCCTGTGCTTCTAACCCATTTCAGTGCTCAGTACACCTTAAAATTTTTTACAATACTGAAAACACACTGCCTTATACTTACCGAAAGTGCAATACTTATTAATCTTTCTGTATCTAGGTAATGTGTATTACTATGATACCCCTGCAGAATGTACTCATTACTGGTGTAAATCCCTACGTAGATGACTCTGGTGTTCAAGAACAGAAAACTTTTTCTTTATTTTATGTTTCTTGGAGTAGTTTATCTTTTAAACCAGAAAAGGACAGCTTTCCTTTAAAAAAAGAATCTCAACATTGAAAGTAATGTAACTGTAGTAAAGTTGAACTGATAGGACTCTTCCCTTAATCTTGCATAAAAACCCAGCCATTATGCAAAAGCTCTTCAATATCTATGATGATCGCTCTCTTCTGTGGCATTATTTTTCTCCTAAAATAGGAGTTGCTATATCTAAAACATGCAGGGATTACCAATGTTCTAAAAATTTTTTCTTGCTTTCATGCTTTTGCATTTGTGCCATTTTGCTTACCTTTTTACATTGACACACCTGTGCCTGATAAGACCAGACTGCATGTAGCCCAGGAAAACACAAATAGAAGGGAATTTTCTCCCTCAATGTCGTCAAAGCCTGCCTTCTAGGGTACAGCTTTTGCTTTGTTTAGGACTGCAGAATTTTTCTGACTTAACAAAAGACATCCTTTTTCCAGTGTGCATAAATTGGAAGGGGTTTTTTTTGGGGGGAAAGGTATTTTTTGTAATAAAGTTAAAATAAGTCCCAGGTATTGAAAGTAGACCAGTACGAATCTGTCCAAAGATAGACTTGTGTTATTTAGAAGGATTATAACTAGTGTTCTTCTGAGCAGATAGAGGATTATTTAACAGAAGTGTAAAGGAGCTCATGATAACAAGCTATGACGTCATACTAGATGTCATTAATGAAAAAGTCTGTGGAATAGATTTTAGGAACATGACTGTATTTTATTAGCTAACAACCCAGTGGAGTTTATTTTTAAGGGAGTTTAATTTATTATTAAGTAAGTACCAAAAAAACCCGACATAGCCATAACTCACTTTTCATGAGACCAGAAGGGAAATGTAAGGGAATACTTTTTGTTCCACTATGTTTGCCCGTAAGCTGCAATGCAATGAATAAGAAGCATGTGTCATCTTCTGAGTTACAGGCAATTGTTTTCATGAGCTACCAGTCCCTGAAGGTCTCTTCTTGCAGTTCTTATGATCAGAAGTGGAAAATTTTGCTAAGCGTATTCATTTGAAGCATTGAAGTAGGTACTTTAAGATGGAATTCTGGCAGTATACACAGTAGTTACAGATCATCACACATCATAATTTATAAGTGAACTCTTTTATGAAACAGGGTGTAGACAGGGAACAGCCATGTTTGCATCATTGTGATGCAGCTGGAGTAGTGAAACCTCTGGGAAGACAGTGATTTAATAGAACAATCTCACATTATGATCTCTGTCTTCTTCCTTGGACAATTTCTCTTTCAGAATGTGATATGAATTGTCACAATATTTTCTTAAATAAACGTGACATCAGATTCATCATATATCAAATATCTTGGATACTAGATCTTGGGATTTTTAGCTAGTATCTGGTATAAAAGTCTGAAGAAACAAAAGCCATTGAGTCCACAAGTGCTATTTCCTCCACTTAATCTACTTATTTTCTCCTGGTTTCAACTAGTGCAAAATAAGATAGCTGTATAGACCTAAATGGTATGAGGCTCTATGCTAACTGTCAAGTTTTATCTACGGATAGTTAGCTGCTTTTCACTTTTTACCTTTAGCAGCAAAATGTCACAGGTACCATGATGCTAATCCAGTCCAGTATTGATTTTTATGTATTATTACTTAGCTCCCCTAAGTTGCTTCAGAATCCTATAGGATCTTCAGGTATCCTAACAGAACCATCATCATCTTACTGGAAAACATCTTTTATGTGCTCTACTTCTATTAAGAACATATATATAAAGTGTTCTTGGTTCTTCATCAGCTAGCCTTTTAGACTGACTACAAAAATAACAAAGGAAGGCATTACAATAAATTTCCCTGCAAATAAGACTATGGAATTGGGGGGGTGTGTGGGGTGTGGATCTTTTAAGTTCCTTATTTCTGTTTTGTTCCCATCAATGTAAAAGTGATCATAGAATCATAGAATGGTTTGGGTTGGAAGGGTCCTTTAAAGCTCATCTAGTCCAACCCCCCTGCAATGAGCAGGGACATCTTCAACTCGATCAGGTTGCTCAGAGCCCCGTCCAACCTGACCTTGAATGTTTCCAGGGATGGGGCATCTACCACCTCCCTGGGCAACCTGTTCCAGTGTTTCACCAAACTGGATCTTCTTGGTGGTTTTATAAACCCCAGTTTTAAAATCATATTTTTGAAATGTTTTTTTACACTGCATAGACTTTTTTCCCTTTTTATCATCAGTGTCTGAATGATATAGCGAATCTTTCTTTTCTTTTCCAGGGAGAGGTAAATGTTTGTAAGCTGAGGTCCTACACTAGTATTCTTCTTTCACTTAAATGGTAGTGTTTCTTTCCTCTGCAAGGCAACAGCACTATTTCACTATCTTTTTTTTTTTTTTTTTTTGCCTAGAAAGCTTTGCCTCTGATAGACTCTGTTTTATTTAAAAGATACAACTGTGGTTTAGTGTGTCTCAGAAATTCCACTTCACATCTGGGTTGATTTGAGAGTGCTTACAG